TCGGCAGGGAGCGTGGGAGCTCCTGAGCAGCCGAGGCCTCCGTGCCCGAAGCTGGTGAGCCACGGCACACGTCCTGGCAGGGCGTCAGGGCAGGCGGGTGCAGAGTGGTGGCATGGCTCCTCCATTTCACACGATGACCCGTCTCATCACTCAGCTGCCAGCACGGAGAAAATGGCCTCAGGAGAACAACACGCTGAGCGCCAGCACCCTGCAATGGGGCTGGGATGGACCCCCCACCACCACATCCCATCACCTCCACAGCACCACCCCTCTCCAGCACCCGGCAGGGCAGGCTGCTCCCTGTGCACTGATGAAGCACAACGCAGAGACCATTTTGCCCTGGGGCAGGGGCAAAGCGACACTGGGGCTGCCACACTCCTTGCCCAGCCCAGTGCCCCGGCGCCTGGGTGGCTCCCGAGGTGTCTCTGCCCTGGGGCCTGCTTTTTGGGTGACTGTTTGCTCAATGGCGGTGCACCCACAGCCAAGCGCCCAGGACAGGGTGACATTCACCCTGAGCATTAAGCAATCCTGGCTGTTCCATCCATCCCTCGGATGCTCCAGAAAGGCAGTAGCGAGGGCCCGTGGCTGGGAATCGGGAGCAGGGACGAGTGCGTCAGCACAACGGGAACGGGCACCTGGGGAAATCAGGTGGTGCCGCGGCGCTGGGCAGAGGCGGGGGGCCCGGGCCGGCGGCACCGTGGAGAGGTGCAGCTGCACACCGGGGTGTGAGAACAGGGTGAACACACACAAACGTGCGCACGCCCTGCCTCAGACCCTCAGCTGCTCCTGCCCCGTGGGGCTATGCACATATCCCACTGTCTTCACACACAGCATCGTGCATCCTGACTGCACGGTGCCACCACGGTCCCCAAAGATGTGATGCACAGTGACGCAGCGCAGACCTACTGCAGGGCAGGACCCCTGCTCCTCCTCTCCGCCCCCAGGCCCATGAGCAGCACATACACCTCCCTCCATCCTCCAAACTCTACTCCTCCAGCCTCCCAGCTCACACAGAGCAACTCCTCCTCTTCCTCCGCTGCTCCTGTTCAGCACTGCGAAGGTTTCTTCTGCACCCCCCTCAAGGTACAGCATCTCCAGCACACCTCCTGTGCTGCAAAGCCCTTGGCTCAGCACCGCCTCCCTCAGTCCTTGCCCTCGCTGTCCCCACGCAGATGGCACAGCTTGCATCTCACAGCGGTGCCACCGGCCAGCACCACACGCTCCCCGATACCCGGGTCTGCAATGCCCCAAGGAGGTGGCATCCATGCTGGGGCTGAGACGGATGAGTCCCAAACCTGCCTGGACCCTGTGCAGGATGAGGCCCACCCACAGCAGCCCCCTTGCACTCCCTGTGCCCCAAAAGAGCACGTACAGCTGCTGCGCCCAGGGGCGATGAGCAGAGAGACTGCTATAGGGCTCCAAGGGGCCAGCAAAAGCTGTCTCCACCCCTGCTAATTAGCCATCAGGCTCCGCCCACTGTGCGGCACAGGCTCCACCCACTCGACAGCCCCACCTCCTGCGGTGTTAAGCTCCTCCCCCCCGCCCCCCAAAAACTCCCCGAGGGTCCCAGTTCTCCCAGTGCAGCCCCAGTGCCTGGTACAGCCGTGATGGTGGTGCCACGGGCAGCCGGTACACGGGGGTGGCTTGTGCAGGGGCACCGGGGGGTAGCGGGGACCCTGTCGGTGGTTGCGGAGGGTGGCACCACTGGTGCCCTGCACCGGAGCTGCATCTCTCTCTCTCCTCCTGCCCCGAGCAGGCCTGGCATCACATGCTCCCAACACCTCCGTGCCCAGCCCTGGCACCCTGCCTGGCCTGGCAGCGGGTACCGCAGCCACATGCTCGCCCCAGGCCGGAGAGCCGCCCCGGTGCCGCCGGCATCGGGCACCCCAGCCCGCAGCAAAGCCCAGCCCCGGCTGGCCCTGGGCACGCACTGCAGCGGGAGCCGGCAAAGCACCGCTGCCAACCTCAGCAAACCCGTGCCCACGGCTGTGCCGGCACAGCCGCGCCGGCGGCCGCGCCGCCCTTACCTTCCATGTCAATGATGGCCAGCACGGCGCTGGTCATGGCCTCTCCCCGCTCGTTCTCGGCCACGCAGGTGTACACGCCAGCATCCTCCTTCTTGCTGTCCCGGATCCAGAGGGTGCCGTACTCCTCCCCGCGTGGGGCCAGCAGCTCCTCGTTTCGGTACCAGCGGAGGCTGGGCCGCGGGTTGCCCACCACCACCACCCGCAGCCGGATGTCGCAGCCGGTGCCGATCGCCGCGTTCTTCAGTTTCCGCACAAAAAATGGTGCCGCCAGGCGAGCCGGGCCCTCCTCAGGCGTCCCTGGCTCCGCCGTGACCTTGGCGCGCTTCGGGGGGATGCCGGGGCTCGGCGGGGCTGCCCGGGGCTCCCCACTGGCCCTACTCATGTCGCCACGTCCCTGTGCTCGATGCATGGTCTACAGCTCCCCTGCCCACGCCCGAGACCCCCGCCGCCTCGAGCCGGCAGCGCCGTGCCCCTCTTCTCCTCCTGCCTGTGGCCTGGGGGTGCTGGGTGCCTGCCAGGGGTGCCGGGGCAGAGGCAGCCCCCCGGTCCAGGTGCCGTCCGGTTCGGTGCCTCCCCCCCGCCAGCTGCAGCCCCGAAGGTCGCAGCGCCGTGGGCAAGCGAGGGGCTATTTTTAGGCAGGCACTCGGGTTCCTGCTCGCCGAGCCGCCGCTCACCGAGCACCCGGTGAAGCGCAGCACCCACACCCCATGTTCCGCTGAGACCCCGAGCCCGCCCAGCGCCTCGGCACCTGCTCCTCCGCCGGCCTGGGTGTGATCCCCACGGGTGCCGGCTGCTCGCTGAGCTGTCCCAGCTCCGGGGCCGTGGCGTCCCCCCCCTCGCCCGTCCCGTCCCGCGCGGCCCCCGGCGAGCTGCGCTCCCTCTGCCCCCTCTCCTGAAGTGGCAGCTGCCTCTGATATGTCACATTCCTTGGCCGGGCTCCCCCTCTCTGCACCCGCCGCCCCGGCCCTGCAGCCCAGCTCCGCTTGCAAAGATAGAAAGGGGCCAGCGCCTTTCCATATTAGCAGTGAGGCTCGGGAGGGATCCAGCCTTCCTCCCCCCCTTCCCCTTCTCCGGCGGTGTCACCGGATCGGGACAGAGAGACCCTGGTGGCATGTGGAGGGAAAGGACACTGTCATGCTTCCTGCAACGCGAGACCCCAGGCAGGAGCCAGCCCCACGGGGCCCCTTTGCCCCAAACCCAGCAGGCAGCAGAGGTGGGGATCCCTGCATCCTTGCTCACCCCAAATCCATCTTGCCAGGAGGCTGCAAACACAACAAACCTCCATTTCTCTCACTGAGCCCCTGCCTCACTTCCCTGGGCAGTGTGGGTCTCGGCCAGCCCCCCCATTCAAGCCCTGCTTGGAACAGGAGCACCCCACTGCGCAGGTCTGGGATGCCCCATGACAGCTCCTACACGCTGCGCTCCAGGCAGCGAGGGATCAGGGGCTGCCTGTGCCACGCGGTGCCTCGCCACCCCCGGGTAAGGCAGGGCTTCCCCGGCTCCTGGCGCGGTGGCACACGTCTCGGCACCTGGCCCCGGCCGCCCTCGCCGCGGGCTGTAAATCTGGGAGAGCAGGATGCGAGCGACAAGGCACGCTGCTTCCCAGCTGCAGCCCAGCCCCGCCAGCTTTGGCACAGCCCGTTGCCACCAGCTGAGAGGCACCGGCGTCAGAGGGGCATCACGGGTGCAGGGAAGATGCCAAGGTGCCCCCTGGTTTGGGTGGCTGGGGCACACTGGAGGGGGATGCCCTGCTACAGCCACAACCCAGCTGCAGAGCAGCCGAGCGAGCCCCAGGGGCTCTGGGGGCTGGAGGAGAAGCTGGCGAGAGATTTGGGGGGCTCTTCGCTGACGGAGGGAAAAGGGCTGCTCTGTCTCCTGCCTGTCCCCCCCAGCCCCAGGGGCAGAGCCCTGGCCCAGCCAGCCTGGGCCAGGCAAGGAGGGAGGTGTCATCCCTCCCCAGGACAGCTCTGGGGACCGTCCTCGATGTCACAGGGCCACCTGCTGGAGATAGGCCTTGGGATCCAAAACCTTCCCCCTCACCCCCCAGCACTGGCTGGCCCCGCAGCCAAAACTGGGGTACACCACGCTGGTCTCTCCATCAGGAACCCCCCAGACTTGTCCCCACCACTGGCAGCAAAGCCTGCCTTGTCCCTAAAACTGTACCCCTGCCAAGCCCACATCCCTCCCGGGGTTCTGCTGCCTGGCCGGGGTCGGGGGAAGGGTTGGTGAACCCCCTGACGCCTCTTGGGGCACAGCAACCCTGAATCTCTTGCCCCCGTGGGATGTTCGACCCTGGGTTCTCCTGCTGCATCCCCCATCTCTGAGGAGGAGCTGAAGCCAAGACCCCCAGACCCTGACCATGGGCCTGTTGGAGGGGAGAAGGAGTAGGGGACAGGCTGAGGCTGGAGGCTGAGCCTGGGCTGGGGACATACAGGGGGTGGTGGGGCTGATGACAGTGGAGTGCTGTGGGGGAGTTAGATCTGGGATGAGTTGGGCCCTGCTTGCAGGTTGCTGGCAGTGGTGGGGGCTTGGAGGGGTCCCAGTCAGGTATGGGTCTGGGGCAGGGTTGGCCTGGGTAAGGGCAGAAAAGGGGCAGCTGTGGGGCTGAGAGTCACTGGGACACAGCGTGGGACCTTGGGTGTATGGCAGGGACAGGCATGGTCATCCAGAGCCCCTCCAAACCTGCTCAGGGCTTGGCTGGCTGCCACAGCCCCCAGTCCCAACAGGGCTCCCCCCCCCCCCCCCAGTGGGGAAACGCATCTCCATAGGCAACAAAATGCTCTGGGGGCACCTTCAGACGTTTTGAGGAGACCAGCAGCCTAGCAAACAGATGGCTCAGGGGGATGCTGGACACCCCATCCACTCCAGCCCAGCCCCGGGGGCCTGTGCAGTGACCCCACCCCCACCCCAAGGTGTCACCTCCCCACCACCCCCCTCCCATCCCTGCCCCAGAGATGCACCGGGAGGAAGGGGTGATGCTCCGCTGTTTATTTCAGCCGTCTGAAGAGTCACGTAGACGCGGTGGGGTGGGGGTGCAGTGGGGCGAGGGGTGGGGCCGCCTGCCCTGGCCCCCGGGCCTCTCTCCGGCTCCTGTCCTTCTCTCCCCCCTCTCTCCCACTCACTCACTCCTCCTCTCTCCTGTGACCACCTACGGGTACCCTCTCAGCTCACGAGCCTGGTCCCACACAGCCTCCTGCTTCTGGGGGTCCCCGCGATGCGGGGGGTGGGCGCTTCCCTCCTCTGCCCCACGGGGCTGCCTCTCGGGCTCGGGGGAGCGCAGGGGCCAGAGCCCCCCCCGGGGCCGGGGCAGGGATGCATGTTAGGAGCACCCTGGCTCTGAGCCAGGTGGAGAACAGGGGCCTCGGCCCAGACCCCGCTTCTCCCCATCCTCGGCAACGCCACCATGCGCCCAGAGAAGTGCCAGCTCCGGGGAGGCCAGCGGTGCCGGCGCGGGGGGACGGGTCCCCGATCCTGCAGGACAAACCCCAAGCCCACGCCCGGTGCAGGGAGGGGGTTGCGAGGGGATCCAGAACCCGCTGCTGGAACCATCCGGCTCTCCGGGGACCTGGCCCAGGCCACCACCTGCTCCCCACAGCCCCCTCCTGCCTGTCCCCTCCCTCCCTCCCCCCTGCCACCCCCCCACCCCCGGCCCGGGCCTGATCCTGACACTGGCGTTGCCGCTGCAAAGCTGCGAAAGCAGAGCAAGCCTTTTGAAGCCAAAGGAGAGAGCCCTGGGGGCGCGAGGGGCCCTGGAGGCGGCTGCACTGGGGGGGACCCCTGGGACAGTGCCGGGGGAGCCACCAGGGGGGCGAGGTGGGGGGCAAGAGGGGGGCTTGGCGACAGGATGGAGGCAGGGACGGAAGGTGCCATTGGGCTGCCGGAGCAACGTCCTCTACAGCACTTCATGCTGCTGCTGGGTCGCCTCGCTCACCACCTGCGGGAGAGAGGCACCGTGAGATGCCGTGTCGTGTCAGCACCGGAGCCCCGAGCACGGGCACAGGCACCATCCTCAGCCCCCACCACCTCCCCAACACACCCCCAGTGCCAGCCTGTGCTCACCTCCCCGTCGCGGGTTTCAATGGTTTTGATCATCACGGTCTTTTTGGTGTGCACCTCGGAGCCGCGCTGCTCTGGGCTGGTCTCTGTGGGGCGGGAGGACATAGGGGATGGCACCACGAGGACGCGGGGCTGGGGTCACTGGGGGACTTCAGGAGCTCTGGCTGAACCCCCGACCCCCCCCCAGCTCACGGCAACACCCAACTGAGTGCCTCCACACCAGTCCACTATGTGGCACCTGGGGGTCCCCAATCTGCCAGCCTGGTTGCAGCCCCCCAGGATGGAGATTTGCCCCTGCATTGGGGACCCCCAGGGACTCGTCCCAGGTCCCCTTCCTCACAGGGTGATGCTCACCTCGGAAATTGAGTGCGGAAGCAAAGGTCTGGTGCATGGGGATGCTGATCCTGCGGGGACACAGAGAGGAGAGCTCAGCGCCAGCCAGCCCCAGTCCTTGGGTGGCTGTTCACAGGGGGGGACCCCAAAAGATCAGCTGACCCTGCTCGTCCCCCCCACCTTGTCCTGCATCCCCACCGCTCACCGGTTCTCCTCGCCCTCCAGCAGCTTGCGGTATGTGGCGATCTCCACGTCCAGGGCCATCTTGACGTTGAGCAGGTCCTGGTACTCACGCAGGTGCCGGGCCATCTCATCCTTCAGGTGCCGGATCTCCTCCTCCAGCCGGGCAATGGTGTCCTGGTACCCGCCGGCCTCCCCCGCGAAGCGCTCCTCCATCTCCCGCATCTGGCGCATCAGCGAGTCGTTCTGGGGGCACAAGGGGGCTCAGGGAGGGGGAGGACCCAGAGGGGCCAGGGATCACCTGGGGTGGGAGCTGGGGTTGCTGGGGGAGTCCTAGGGGAGAGCCAGGGACCTGGGGAGAGCCATGGTCAGCCCTGGGCTGGGTCCAGCTGACGTGGGACTGTGATGGGTGGCCATCACCCTCTGTCTGCCCAGCACTGGGGCAAACTGGGCAGGTGCCAGACAACCTCGGCACACTGTGCCTGGGTGCCCAGGCCCCCCCAGCAAAACCTCCCTACTCTGGTGGGAGGGCATGGAGAGGTGTGGGAGCACCGGACGGGTGCCCGGGGATGGCACTGCCAACTAACCAGTGGCTGCTGGCTGGCTCCTGTGACTGTGACTGTGTCAGAGAAGGACTGTTGTGCCCTGTTTGTTTGTAACCACCTTCCTAGCCTGCAACCAGACACCCCGAGCCTTGTGCCCGCCTGCCTGGAGCCTCCCAGGCTGGGACACCTTTTGCAGCCTGCGTCTTGACCCCGGGGCTCTGCGAAAACATCTCATGGAGGCCCAGTGTGACAGGGGGGGAGGTGCAGCCTAGATTTGGGGTATGAGTTCCCCCATGGCAGCAACTCAGAGAGCTCAGAAGAGCCCCCTATCCCAGAGATATCCCAGAGGTCCCTGATCAGCCCTGGAGCAGCAGGTCCCTGCAGGGAAGCTGGGAGTCTCCCTGACACTGCCCACAGCTCACCGTGCCCTTGAGGGCATCGATCTCACAGGTGTAGGACTGGATCTGGTGCCGGTACTCCATCATCTCCTGTTTTGCCTGCCTCAGTGCATCGTTGTTCTTGTTGGCTGCCTGTGTCAGGTCAGACACCTGGGGAGAGACCAGAGTCAGCGGGCACAGCCACTGGGATGGCCAGGACCCCCCACGCCAGGGCCAGCCTGGAGCCCACCACCTCCCACACCTTGGACTTGTACCACTCCTCGGCCTCGGAGATGTTCTTGGCAGCGATGCTCTCGTACTGAGCGCGGATGTCCCGCAGCGCAGCCGTCAGGTCGGGCTTGGAGATGTCCATCTCCACCTGGATGTGTTGCTCCTGCAGCTGAGCCTGCAGCTCCCGGATTTCCTGGGGGGGACGACAAAGTGACATCTCAGGGGCACCCGCTCCGTCCCCTGACCCCACGGGTGCCCGTGGGAAAGGGGGTCGCCCCTGACATACCTCTTCGTGCACTTTCTTGAGGAAGGCAATCTCCTCCTGCAGGGACTCAATGCGTCTTTCCAGGTCGATGCGTGCCAGCGTGGCTGCGTCCACGTCCTGGGGGGGACAGGGAGTCAGAGGTAGTCGGGGGGGGTAGGAGGAGAACACCAGGGCTGGAAAGTGCGAAGCTGTGCCCAGGGCCATGCCCTGGTGCTGGGGCCAGGCTGTCAGGGGGGAATGGGGGTGGGAGGGGGAGGCAGGGGTCTCACGCTGCATGGGGGAGACAAGTACTCACAGCTCTGAAAGCAGCCAAGTTGTTCTCAGCCTCCTCCTTCAGCTGGATCTCCTCTTGCAGCCTGTGGGCAGAGAGGGGAGGTTAGGGGGCCCCGAGGGAAGCCCCATCCCCCAGTGGCTATGTCCCCCCAAGCTGTCCCTGAGCCCAGCAAGGCCCAGTGGGAAGACAGCGGATTGTCCTGCATTCCCGGCAGGCAGCAGGAGGGCTGGCGGGGGGCCAGGGGCTTTTCCTCCCATTCCCTATTATAGTCAACGCCGGAGAGAGCACAAAGGCATGAGGTCAGCTCGGTGCCACGCGCACTGCCCCGGCCCTTATAGGGGAGAGTGGCCGGCAGCCGGGGGGACAGGGTGCACGACTCGGCACGGGTGGCCCAAAGGATGGCCACAGCTGAGCCGTCCCAGGGAGAGCAGGAGGACAAGCGGGTCTCAGTAATGCTGTGGGACAGGGGTACGGAGCGAGGACCCCTGGGGTGCGAGCCCAAGGTCAGGACTGCAGAGCCAGGCTGTGCCAGGGGAGGGGGCAGTGCCGGTCAGGAGGAAGGCAACGGGGAGGAGGCGGAGGTGCCCCGGGTGGTGCTGGCACACAGGGTGGCAGGAACTTGACACCCATTTGTTCTGAGACCTGCTCCTCCCCTGACACTGAGAGATCCTCCATGCCACGACCCCCAGCCCCCCAGCATCAGGGGCTTTGCCTCACCAGGACCCCAGCGCTGGCCGCCTGGGGAAGGGGCTGGGGTTGTGGGGGGAGGCAGCAGGCTGTGTCACCCCCAGGAGATGAGGACTTGGTGTCCCCAGGGCACAGGCGCCAGGAGAGCAGGTGCAGACCCACATCAAAACAAGCAGCTCCCTCTGAACATCCACCCCTGCTGCCGGTTGCCCCATGCTGGTCAGTCCTTGGGGGGTCACTCAGCCTGGCCACCCTTGTGGCTATTCCTGCCGGGCCCCAGCCCCCTCCCCAGCACTACCCACATCCGTGGCATCCTTGGGGAATCCCCACAGCTCCTGGGGCACCCACGGCAGGCCTGGAGTATCCCTGGCCTGCAGAAGTGTGGCCACTTCCTCCCCTCCCTCCTTCGCATCCGGAGCTGGTGGAGTACCCCCCCACCGGCCATTCTCCCCCTCGTTTCCTCCTTCCTGGCTGGTTCCATCTGTCTGTCTGTCCCGCAGGGCTCAGCTCGCCCATGGGCTCGCCAGCTCTCCCGAGGGTGAGCAGGGATGGGGGCCCTGGGGTGGGCCAGTCTGATCCCCCAGATCCGGAGGTCCCGTGGCATCACAGTCCAGCCTCAGCCCCACTGCAACGGGGGTGAAGGGGAGCACCCCTGCTGCCTGAGCCACCCTGCTCTCTGCGTGCTGCCCGGGCACCTGGCGAGGGCTGGCAGCGGCCGTCGGAGTGCCCTGCTGAGACGCCCAGGCTGTGGGCATCTCTCTCACCCTGTCCCATGACGCTGGGCCAGCTCCCCACCCACCCGCCCCACGCCGTGGCTTGGGCAGCACCCAGTACGGGTGTAGAGGGTCACAGGTGCCCTGCTCTCCCCTAAAACTCACAGCCACCGTACCAGGACCTAGCACCCTGCAAAGTGCCCGGTAGGCGGGTGCAGCCAGTGAGAGGCGCAGCCGGGGTGCTCTCCCACCCCAGGAGATGGGGAGAGGGGGACAGAGTAGTGGGCCCATGATGAGCTCTGAGCACGGGGCACAAGGACGGCAGTGAGCACCCAAGGGGGCTGCCAGGGCGATCCCTGCCACCACCCATCCCTAGGGATGGATGCCCACAGGGACATGCTGTGGCCTCTCCTCACCTCTGCTTGATCTTCTGCAAGTCATCGAGCAGGTTGTCGCGCTCAACCTCGACACGAGCCCTCTGGCTGGTGAGCAGATCCACCTGGCGCCGGAGCTCCCGCAGCTCCTCCTCGTACATCTCGGCCACGCGGGTGGGCTCCTTGCCCCGCAGGCGGTTCACCTCGGCCACCATGAGGGCGTTCTGCTGCTCCAAGAAGCGCACCTTCTCGATGTAGTTGGCGAAGCGGTCATTGAGCTCCTGCAGCTCCACCTTCTCGTTGGTGCGGGTCTGGAGGAACTCCTGGTTCATGGCATCGGCCAGGCTGAAGTCCAGCAGCTCGCCGGCACCTTGGTAGGCACTTTGGTAGGAGCGCAGGGGCGTCACACGGGTGGCGCGGAAGCTGGACAGGCTGGGGACGGCAGAGGAGCGGGACACCTGGTAGACACGGGAGGTGACGGAGCTGCCACTGCTGCCCTTGCCCCCAAAGGAGGTACGGGAGAAGACGGGGGAGGCACCGCCGAAGGTGCGGCGGTAGGATGAGACCCGCTGGCTGGAGGAGTAGGACTGGCTCATGGCGGCGGCGTGGGGCGGCGAGGCTGGAGCAGGGAGCAGGCGGCGGGGCTGGCGAGCGGCCGGCAGCTCGGCGAGGCTTCGGGAGGGGACCCGCGCCGCCGCTATTTGTATCCTGCTGACATCACCCGCCCCTCCTGCTGCCGGGCAGCTGGGGGATGCTGCTGCGGCGGGGGGGGGATGACAAGGCCGCCAGCCCCCGCCTACTGCCCCTCACCTGCCGGGCCACGGACCCCCAGGCAGGCGACAACAATGCCCATGGACCCCCAGGCGCCCCCCAGACCCTGCTGGTGTCTCAGCCTCCCCTCCAGCCCCCACTACACTGCCCCGTCCCTGGGGGTGGGAGGAGAAGAAGTGGGGCGGGCTAGCGGTGAGCCCCCCCAGCACTGCCCAGACCCCCATTGGGGTGCAGTGTCACCCACGGGGGGGCCCGGACAAACAGACAGCCTGGGCTGACACCAGGAGGGAAAGAAGGAGACTCAGCCCTTCACACCATCCCTTGACCCCCTTGAACCAGACCCCCATGTCCCGTAGCCACGAACCCCAAATTGGGCTTGAGCACCCCAAAATGCCCCTGATGATGTCCTGACCTGCCCCACAGCTCAGGTCTCCTTGTGGGGCCAGAATCCAGACGCCCCCCACCCCAGAAAGGGGGCAAGGGACCGTCCTGGGGAGGGGGTGAAGTGGGGGGAACCTCTGCCCTGCATGTGCTTGTGCTGACCCACCACTCAAACCTCCCTTTCTGATATGGGGGCCTGAGCACTGGCCTGGGGCTGGGCGCTTTCGGGGTGCTGCTGAGTGACCCTGAGCAGGTGCTGGGGACCCACCCCCGGTGATGTCACCCCCCAGGTCCTCTCTCCGGCACATTCCTGAAGCAGCAGGCACCCAACCAAAATAGCCTCCCGAGCTCATACGCGTGGGGCGTGGGACATATTTATAGCTGAGGGAGGGAACCTGTTAACCCTTCTTGTGCCAGGTGCATGGAGAGCACGGCTGGTTGGGGACCCTGCCTGGAGTAGCCCCAGCCCTTCTCTGGTCTCCGTCACCCTGAGAGCAGGACAAAGTCCCCAGGTCATCCCAGGGCAGTGCAGGCTCTGCCTTGTCTCCTCAACCTCCTCCTTGGCCCAGAAGTACGCTAGGGAGCAGAAAGCCCAGTGCAACTCCCCAAACCTTCCCAGAATAGGGAATACCCCGGGGGTAACCCAGGACATCCACCACAGCTTCCCATCTCCTGGACAGGTTGGGGGCCAGGGCAGGGACTCCCGGGGTCATGCACAAACCCCTACCAGGTAAAGAACACATCCTGAGGGAGGGGGGGCTGTGCTGGAGGATCCCCTCAGGGGGTTGCCCCTTGCTTGGTCAGCACCCCCTCCTCCCCAGATCCCCCTGGCACACCTGGTGATCTCCAGCCCTGCCAAAGCCGGGCTGTTTTGGCCGACATCGGCTGACACAGCCCCAGCGCCTCTGTCCCTGGAGGCCCTGATGGAGGGGACCGCCGTGTCACCGGGCACGGGGTGACTCAGCAGCAGGAGCAACACCCAGCCCTGCCGGGCCCTGCACCTCCCGACCCTCCATGACAACTGCAAAGCAGATGCCGAGGGGTGCCAGGGCTCACCCGTGGCAGCATCGACACGGCAAAAGCTTGGGCTTGGTCACAGCAGCATCTTCAACTGCCCTGGCTCTGAGAGGCACTCCTGCCCACTCCCCGCCAGCCCCCTGCCGCCCAGGGAGCCAGCAAAGCTCTGGGCCCCACAGTCACGCAGGTGGGCAGAGGCTTGATGCCCTGCATCCAGGCTGCCCCCCCAAAACCCCCCATCCCCTGATCCCCTCCTGCCCCCCTAGATATAGTGTAATGCGGCAGCTTCCCGGAGGGTGCACACTGCGTGGAGGAGCCTGCCTTTAAAAGGGAAGGTATTTCCAGATGGGGTTGTTTCATCCCAGCGCAGGGGGGAGGATGGAAGGAAGGGGGGGGGGGGGGCGTGTGGGGTGTGTGGGGGAGAGAAGATGGAAAAATAGACAGCATCCTTCCTCCTCCTGGCCCTGCTCCGAGCGCACCCTGCACATCCCTGAGCCCTGCACGTGTGCCCTGCTGTGCTTGCCGGCAGGGTGGCATGCCAGCCCTTGGCTGGGGTGCGGAGGGGCAGGTGCCCACACCAGCACGGGGGACCCCAAGGGTCTGGGCCAGCAGGGTGCCAGCTGTACTGTTCAGCGGTTCCTTCCTGTGACCCCATCCCGCTGCCTCGCCAGCTGGGGTGTGGGGAGGATGGGCCCCCCAGGGGTGGTGTGTCCAGCAGTGCTCAGCACCCTGCCCTGCTGCTTCAGGTAGGGCGATGCACAACCCACCCCAGGCCTCGAGAGCCCTTGTCCCCATCCCCATCCCACAGAGCAGGGGGGTGCAGGGTTGGGGTACCCCAGAAAGAGGAAATACACTCTTGGGCACCGCTGCTAGGAGGGGAAACGGCTCAGAGGGGTTAACCAGGAGCATCTTCCTGACTCTGCCCTAGGACAAACTGTTAGAAGTGGCCTTTCCTCGGCTGCTGTGACAGCCTTCCGGAATGTCTCTGTGCAGGCAGGGGCCCCGTGTCTGGCAGAGGGTGGACGGATGCCCTGGACTTTCCACAGCCTCTTAGGAAAGCCCCATCTGCATATGGGACCCTGCAGCACGGGAAGCGGGAGGTGAGGAGCAGGACATGGGGACTCTGCCAGAGTCCCATCCCAGGGACACGGCCCCAAGCACTCTGCACCCACTAAAGCCCCAGGGGCCGTGAAAAGCAAGGAGGCTGCAGAAAGCAGCAGTGCAAGGGTGCCTCCTGTCCCGTCCAGTCCCATTCAGCCTCCCCGCGGCTTCATCCCAGGCCAGGCTGACCCAGACCAGCGGAGCCTGGGAAGTGACCCCCCCAAGCCCCGGCACTGGCCCAGCCCCAGCTCCTGCCAAGCCCTGGGACAAGGCTGCTGCCGGGAAGGCGTCGTGAGCTGGAATGTTAAACAACTCCCTCCGGTCATGACAACCCTGTGAGCGAAGCCAGCTGCATCCCTCGGCCGCCCCTCCTCCCCGGCCCTCCCTCTCCACTGCTCCCCCAGGATTTAAACCGCCCGAGGAGCTGGCTGCAGCCTCCCCAGGTTGCAGGCATCTCGGGTCTTGGAGCTGGGCAGGATGCAGGAACGGGGTGCTGGCCACTCGTCAGCCCTGTACCCTGCCACCGGGGCCCCCGCGCCCGCCTCGCGCCTGGCCCTGGCTCAGGGGTGAGCAGAAGGATGGGAATGAAGCAGCCAAGGGTGTCCATCCCCCTCCCTCCTGGCCCCCGGCCTTCTCCCTCCATCCCGCTCCTTTTACAGCCATGAGTCTCCCAGGCGCCTTTACCCTAAGAGGGAAGGACCGTGCGGCCCATTCCCCAGCGCTGACGGACCCAGGGCACGTGCTGTTGTCTAAATAGGAGATGGTTCTCCTTCGCCACCTGGACCACGGCCCAGCCCAGCCTGTCGGGGTCCCGGGAGCTGGTGGGTGCCCTGCAGGCTGCAGCCCCCAGCCCGCTGCTCACCCCAGCTGCACCCATGCCTTCGCCCACCCCAGGGCTCAGGCATGGGCACATAGTCCCCACCCCCGTGTCCCCAGGTGATGGGGATGCTGGGGACAATGGCCTGTCTCTGAGTGGCACAGGGCTGCCGGGGGTGCCCCCATGACATGAGTGGATGCTGGGGGTGTCCAGCTATCCCCCCATAACCATGCTGGGGGGTATTTGTTTGCTTCCCCCTGGGTCTATGTAGGTCCTCATGGTGAGTTGCTGCCTGTGGTCCACAAGGATGCTGGGGGTGACCTGTTGCCCGCTGGGCCATATAGATGCTGGAGGAGACCAGGCTACCTCTGTGTCCATGCAGATGCTCGAAGCATATACCTGCCCCCATTACTCATCTCCAGCTAGCCCTGCGATCCGTGGGGATGCTGGGGTGTTCACCCATTGCCACAGCCCAGAGGCAAGCTGAGGAAGTCCACCTGCCCTCGTGGTCCATGGGGAAGTTCACCTGCCCCGGTGGCCATGGGGATGCTGGGGGTGCCCAGCTGTCCTCACGATCCACGTGGATGTAGGGCTGACTGGCCACCCTCGTGGTCCATGAGGATGCTGGGGTGCCTGTTTGCCCTCCCACAGGCCTCGGTAGCATCACTCATGCCAGTGAGATGAGGTAGCGGTTACCCGCTGCGTCGCTGCATCACTGGTGGCTCATGCGAGGCACGGTGACCATTCGCTCAGCCTCCAGCAATGCCTGGGCAGTGATTTCACTTTCTCATGCTCAGACACGTGGGCCGGGATAGGAGGCGGGGGACCACCTCGATGGGTGCCACCCCTGCACTCATCCTGGCAGAGCGGGCAAGGAGGGGGTCCAGGCAGCCTGCCAGGCATCCAGAGAAGGAGGTGGCACTTCCTGGAGCTCTGGCTGTGTTTACAGGCTCCTGTCCTGGGCCATCTCTCCGTTAACCCCTTCCAGCAGGGCTCAGCTCTGGCTGCTCAGCCCTGGAGCCACGCGCGGTGTCGTGGTTTAGGCCTGATTGGCAGCCAACCACAATGCAGCAGCTCTCTCTCCCTTCCCCTCCGGCAATGAGAAGGGACAGAGAGCCAGGCTTGGGGTTCAAGATAGGACTGGGATGGGGAAAAATCCCCCTTTTATGATCACGAGCAAAAGGCAGACTCGTTAGGGGAAGAAAAAAAAGAACATACATTTATTACAGACACTAACAACACATAACAGAGTAAGACAGTGAGAAGCATTGCCACATCTTGAGAACACCTTCCCCCCACCCCTCCCTTCTTCCCGCGCTCAGCTCTGCTAGGGGAGTGTCCGAAACTTGTTCCCCCTGTTCCATCGTGGTCCCCCTCTCACAGGAGACAGTCCTCCACAAACTTTCTCTGACCTGAATTCCTCCCATGGGCTGCAGCGTTCCCCACACTGCTCCATCATGGGTCACTAACTCCCTCCGACTGGATTCCCTCCCACGGCTGCAGCCCTTCCCGAGCTGCTCCGGCGTGGGACTCCCCTGCATGCTGCAATCCTCCCAGCACTGAATTACAGCAGCGGGGCTGCCTTTTC